GCTTACGGAGTAGTTTATTATTATCCTTAATTATTTTTAGAAATATAGCTATAGAATTTAAAATAAAAATTAGATATTTCAAAATTACATATTGTTTTAAAAATAAGAGACGAAAAGGTATACTCTTATCACAATGCTAATCTAAACTAAAGTACTCTTCGAATCTTAGATAAATAGTTCTGATGCCCTCTGTAGTTTTGGAAATAAACACCAACGCCCTACTCTGTGTTTCCTTATTTTCTCTTTTGTCTCTTATAAGTAACATATACTACCTCTGTTCGAGTATTTATCCACTTTTACCTTTTTGATCAAGATTATCATACTTTGATCATAAATTAAAAAGTGATATTCTATATTGATCCAAAAATAATTTTTGATGGTATAAATTTGACTGGCTCTGACCTGGTCAAACGAAATCTACCGGGTAAGGAAAATACTCAGGAAAGTAAAAACACAATAAGAATGACCATAAAAATATAAATTCGAGCACACGAATTCTTTCCTCGTTGACTGTACTAAAAATATGACCAGTCACTTACCAAGGACAGCATGACCAGTCACATTTTCTGAGGGTTCCGCGTCTTTCAAAACATTATTAGTTTTTGACCCATCATGACTCGACCGATCACTTTTTGGGTCTTCAGACCAGGTATAACTTATACCCATCAATTTTATTAGATTTATTTTTCAAAATATTTTATCTAGTTAAGACATCATGCCTACTTTATTTAATTATTTGTCAAGTGTTGAAAATCATTAACCGCAAAAAAGTCAAAATTAAAAAAATTCTCAGGGGCAAAGGCGGTACTTCATTTGTCTCAAATTAAATATTTTCAATTTTTGTCCAAAAAAATTCTATTTTTTTCTAGCATGTCTACGTGTGTAATAGATGTCGTCCATTATCCATCTCCCTCTCCAAAAATAATCACTTGCATCATTGAAAAATTGAAAGGATGCTTTTGTTTGTGTTTCTTAATGGTTCAAGAAATGGAAAACGATCATAAATTAAGAAGAGAAAATAGAAGAAGAAAAAAAATTGCTCGCCAACGTAACGCTCTAATCGTCAACTTTCCAAAAAAAGTTCAGTAAACACACTTTCTAGCTCGTTCGTTATGCAATATAGATATGTCTCTTTACTTCTAGCAGATATCCTTATTACAAAACTGCTTCCGTTGGCTCCATTCCAGTACGTGCGCTCCAGGTTATTTCTCGTTAACGAGGATCTACTTGCGGGATATTAGGAATAATAGAGATAATATTAAATAAATTATTATTATTATTATTATTATTATTATTATTAATATTATCATTATCATTTCCTTTCCTTATTTTATTCTTACCATAGTTTCTTAATCTATTTTACCTAGTATTTTCTATGTACAATGATATAACATTCATGATTCGATTTGACCAATTGTTATCAAGTTATATCAATAATAAATATATTAGACGTTTATCACTACTGCTTTTGTGCCATTTTAATAAGCACTGTCTGTGATAGATTCTAATAATATTACATACTGTGCCCACTCTAAAAATTAATTACAACTACCATGGAATCAATTCAACCAAAAACTCAAACTTGTGGCTGTACGTCCTTAAAAGGTTTTATACTCTAACACATGTGCTTCTCACATGCAGGTGAGAGTCGTGTTTGTTTAAATCTTTTACGTGAATGTTAATTTTTTTAAACTTGATGGCGGTGATGCATGAATTCATAACCTCTAAATCAATAATACTGTGATATCATATCAATATATTGATTGGACCAAAAGATCAAACGTATAATTGTACTCTGGAAAAACTTTATACTCCTACAATACCTTTTTTCCCGTTTAGATTCACATATTAAATCATTAATACCTAACAGGGGGTAGAATTTTAAAACAAAAACCAAATTATTTTAGATTTTACATACTCTCTTTATTTCAAAACGAGAATTTACAATTTTATCATTTGAGCCTTCTGATAATTTTTTTCTAATCGTATTTTTCATTGATAATTTGATAAAATAAAATATTTTTGTCGCTTATTATTTTGAAGAGTGTTTGACGTTTATTTTTAAATATGTTATTTGCAACTTTTATATTTATACTAATTTACAAATAATTATTGTAAAAATAAGATTTTACAAAATGTTTGACACAATCAAATAAGTTTTGGAGAGAGGGTCTGATGGGTTTTCGAACCCGGAACCTAGGAGACTAGGTATGAGAGTATCAAACAAGGGTTGACTGCCTTTCGGTTGCAAGATTGCAGTGTGAGTATATTTGATTCGTAGTGAACGTGTCATCCTCTCCCCAAGAGGGAGGAGTATTTATACAATACATTTGTCCTATACTTGTGTTTCCTAGTCATTGTTTAGGATAGGACCTAGTGGGCTAAACCCACTGGAATCGTATCTTTGACTAATAATACAAGAAATGTAATTACAAATAGTATAACTACAAATAATGTACAGATGAATAGTATCAGAGATGCCTTTGTGTGGGCCCATTGAGTAGACAGAGCGGGCAAGATCCCATGCCCGTGAAAGGCCTACATTGTTTTACTGGCGACAGGGGCTGAGTACACGACTCTGTCGTTAGATGACAACCGAGTAAGGGATGTGCCCCAGGGGTCTGAGTGCATGGGTTCGACCTGAGTAGAGACACGTGTCCGAGTGCAGTTGCCACCTTGAGGGCTTGGTTACCTTTAAGTCCCGCTCAGCCGAGTGAGGCATTTTTGGCCGACCACGTATGGTTTCTGCGACTAGATGGGCCGTTATTGTTTTTGTTGGGCTGATACCCCCTGTCTTGGGTATCCATTAGGGTCTGCGTCCCAAAATAAATTTACATATTTTTACTATTTACATGGTCAAATTTTATTCAATTTTTTTTATATTTTTGTTCGATATTTAATGTCAACATTAATTTTGTAGATCTTTTAATCTTTTGAGATATGACTATATGAGTACTACTCCGTATATAATACTCCCTCTGTCCACCATAGATCTTCCAGACACTACTCACAGGGTCAAACTTTATTCACTTTATTTACTCATTTTGTAAAATAATATAGTCTTGTCACCTCTAGTTTTGTAGAATTTTTCATGTAGTTTATTACTATATAAATTTTATTTTAAAATTTTACTTCTATAATCAATTAAATTGAATTGAAAATAAAGTCGATCAAGTCTCGTAATGCGTAACGGGAAGATCTTAGGTGGACGGAGGGGGTACTCGGTGTACTCTGTATTACGTTATTGTGCACATCGACAGAGGAATCAATATATCACGTCAATTTAATAAGTGGGCAACTAGTAGCCAATTAATCAATGGGTGCCAACTAATAATCCCTAATTTTATTACCAAGTTGTTTACAAGCTACAATAATAAGTTAATAACTCCACACTCTTGGATCATCCCGTTATTGTTTATAGGGCGCTATTGTATTTATTTATTTATTTTCTATATGCTTTTACTCATAATTTATAAAATTAATATGAGTGAGATTCTATTAACCTTGGCCAACGGTATCACTAGCAGTGTCAATGGTGTCACTGCATTTTTAGAGCACTTCCAGTGCTCCGTTTAAAAAAATTGATGGTTCCTACCCCCTAATCCATACATCCCTCTAAACTCCTACCCTAGCCCCATCCTTACCCCCTACCCTACCCACCCTAAACCACTCTCCCAACAAATCAAAACTAAACAAAAATACTCAAAAACGAAGTTGTATATTTCAGTAAAGTAGAAACTTAAAGTTTATTCTCAAACATATACCGTAATATATACATTGGCCCTCTCAAGTTTAATTTATCCGATTAAAGTATAATTTACATTATTTCAGGTGATAGTGTAGTCAGTGCTGAGAGTCCTCAGAGATCCATTATCCCTCTTATCCAAATAACACAATGCTATAAGCATGAATAAAGAAAAAAAACAAAAGATGAACCCTATCTCCAAGAATTGCTTCAGAATTAGGGTCTCTTTGAAGAATAATGTCATAGATTAGCGTTAACGTTTTGAAAAGACTATCCACTGGGATCGTTTTGTGTTAGCATTTTCAAAATAATCTGCACCGTTAAAATTTTATCTAAAACACTAATGCTAATCTCTAACGTTATTCCCAAACAGACCCGTAGCCAAAGAATCATGTAAATTGAGAATCACATTGAAACGTTAAAAGCATGAGCATGAGGGTGGTGTGAATGATGGATGGGGCTGAAAATCAAGGAGAAAAGACAAACAAATTCAACTAATAAGCCCAATGCAATCAAACATCGTACGTCTCTGAGTCACGTCAACCTCATCCCACCACAACTTAATTTCGTGCTAATCTATTCTTACTGCACACATTTTGTTCTTTTTTTTTTGAAATTAATGTGCAACTTACTGCAATCATGTCATTAAACCAAAGTACACTAGTTTTGAGACTTTAGAGCAAACTCCAATCCTTCTCCATTTCCTTTTTTTTTTGGAGCTTTTCGTTCTTTGTACTTATTGAAAATTTTTTAAAAAAAAATATTGAGTTTTTTTATAATGAGATACTGTTTTCAGATGGCTCATGATGGGCGTCAAAAATTACATTGACTAACAATGACTTAACTATCAAAAGAGGAGTAAAGAATTTAAAGAACTATTTTATTTTATTTCATCATATCTCAAAGTAAAAAACAATAAATTGTTAGTTTCGTGTGAGATATGAATCTCATGGGTATCATTAGGAAATAGTAATTTAGACTTGCTTAACCAAGGAGTTCATACATGAGGATATAGTTCTAGACAATAGAGAAATCTTACAAGGACCCAAGACTAGTATAAATTTTATATATATATATATATATATATATATATATATATATATATATATATATATATATATATATATATATATATATATATATTGCCAAGATAGATGACTTTGAAACACGTACATATCTACTTTTCAGTACTCCAAGAAACAAGATTATTGCCAAGATAAACATGATAACTAGTGGTGGATTGTCTTTCCCAATGGTCATTGGCCTAGCCAAAGTCCGAATAACCACGCACACGGAGACCCCCTACAAAAGGTAATAGCAATGAAGATTGAATCTTTTACATACCGAAGGATGCGTTCGTGAGTGTGAAAATCTTGTTCGATATGATTATGCATCTTTTGAGCAACGAATTTTACAACATATTGAATATCATGTCAGATACTGACCATCAAAAAGACTACAAAAGAGCCAAGGGTTGCTAAACAGGATGTCAGCACCATTTGTAAAAGTGCCCGGACTAATAAGGGTGCATTGGCGTGCAGGTATCATGTTAGAGTGCATCCCGCATCAAAAATCTAAGAGTAAAATAATCGGTATATAAGCTCTTGAGTTGAACTAACTAATCGATTGGATTCAATTTTTTAATGTGGTTCAACCCAAGTGTCTTATTGTCTAATCCAGTTATCACTACCCCATCCCAAATTCTATCATGGTATCGGAGCAGGTTTTGGCCCACCTTATTTGTCAAGGTGTGTGTCTAGACGTTCATTCTTAGTGGCCCGTTAGTCTTTAGTTCAGTTGTCCGTATGGAGTATGTACCCAACGGCCTGTGGCCCTTTTAACATGATTGCTCGTCTGGAAGTCCATACCCAGCGGCTCGTGGTCCTTTAGGTATTGGCGCTAAAAAAACAAGTCAAGGAATTAGAGTTCATTTGCAAGTGGTCAACCGGTTAGATTCAAAATGGCCCGATTGTCCATTTGAGGGGGAGTGTTAGAGTGCATCCCGCATCAAAAATCCAAGAGTAAAATAATCGGTATATAAGCTCTTGAGTTGAACTAATCGATTGGATTCGATCTATTAATGTGGTTCAACCCAAGTGTCTTATTGCATAAACCAGTTATCACTACCTCATCCTAAATTCTATCATATCAACATGATGAATGAGCTTGCCAGTGTACTTTGCTTTGTGGAGAAGTAACTAATCATTGGTACGCTCTAGTGCAAGGTATGAAAAATATTTGAGAGGGCCAAGACCCTTCATATAAAACTCCTGATGCATACTTTGAATGAACAACTAAGTGAGAGCAGAGGAAGAGTCTAACTAAGTGAGAGCAGAGGAAGAGTCTGTGACAACAATATCATTCACATATAATAAAAGAAGAATAGCGTCCTTAGATGTATGCTTGATTAAGAGACTAGTGTCGTGAGTAGTATTAAGGGTAATTTGCCTAAATAGGACTAAAACATAATGACTTTTTTAATATAGGATCATATATTTTTATTTCCCAATGTAGGACCATTTGTCATAATCTATTAGTCATTATTCTAATAAATGTCCAGCATCACTTGAAAATTATTCTTCTCACTAGTCATTATTATGTCCTATTTAAGGAATAAAAAAAGTTTAAGTCCTACATTGAGAAATGACTTATGTTTTAGTCTTATTCAATGCAAATTTCACTAGTATTAATGAATCCGTGAGCATCTAGAAAAGAGGATATCAAAGATACCAGGCTCGTGGAGCCTACTTAGGCCCATATAATGACTTCAGCAACTTACAAACATATTATAGAAAATGTTGATCAATGTAACCTGGAGGCTGAATCATGTGAATATGTTCCAGTAACTCACCACGTAAGAAAGAATTAGACACATCAAGGTGATGAAGAGGCTAATTATAACGCATGGCCAAAGATAATACAACAAAAGTGGTTTGTTGCTTAACCATTGGACTAAAGGTCTCAGAATTGTTGAGTCCATATTCTCGTTCATATCCTTTTGCCATAAGACGAGCTTTGTAGCGAGACACTGCACCGACCCATCATAGTTGTGTTTTATATGGTAAAACCACATACAATCAATGGGATACCAAGTACTATGAGGAGGAACCAACACTCATGTGCGCTGTTTCTACATGGCCTCAAATTCTCACCGGAAAGTTTATCAGAGTTTTCGAGGAATGTTCTTGGTCTTAGAACAGCGGGAGGAATGACGCCGATGTTCTCTAGCTTGCCACGAATCGGTATCAAGATGATGGGCACCAAGGCAAGGTGCTCATCGATCTTTGGAAAATTTTAAGCCGTTCACCAAAATGGCAACAACTCAACAATCCCGACACCGAATCCTCAAAAAAAGATCCTCCATCGACGCCGAGGTTGAGGTCCATGACACTATCGGTTCGTCCGAACAAAGGCCTCCCTCCAACGTTGACGATTGCGATGACGAGGACCCCATTCCACGGCTGATCAGAAGAAAGAAGACAAAATCAATTACCTCGGGTTCTGGAGGGTCCGACTCTACCTTGTTTCTTCTTACGATGATATCGATCGGGCAATGGTTGAATAAATTTGGGTGTTCAATATTAGAGAAGAAGAGAGGAGAGAAGAAAGCAATAGAAGGAAGAAATTGAAATAATGGAAACCAACTTTGATACATTTTCGAGCTTCAAACGTATGATTTTCGAGAGAAGACAAAAGGAGAGCAAGGCTAAATATAATTTACCTTATTTTTTTTATTAATGTATTTTTTTAAATTATTGTCGTTTTAATTTTTTTAATTTAATGAATGTAATTTTTTTAAAATTATTTTCATTTCAATTCAATTAAATAATTAAATTTTATTAATTTAGTTTTAGAAGATGTTCATTTAAAATGTAAAAATAAAGGTATGAAGCCCCAGTGCTTCAAACCCATTTCTAGTAAATCTATGAGGTAAGTTAAACCTAATGTGGTAGAGATAGAAACTTTGAAGCCCATGTGCTTCATACGTATTTCTAGTGCTCTTATCAATAGTCACAAGTAAATATTTTGCTAGGGTAGGCATGAGTGGCCCGGAGGATGTGCAAAGTGTCCAACCGCACAAGACCCCTTAAAACTTAGGGCACTATATTTTTAAATTTGTTAATAATTTTAAAGTAAAAATATTCTAAAAATATAAAATAGAGCACAAAATATAAATTTTAGACCGGGTCAATTTTATTTTTTCATTTTTCGGAGCCGACGCTGGGTAGGGTTTATTAGCATAACAATGAAAAAAAATGAGAATGAATGGATGGAGTAAATCCAAGTCGGTCGTCGGTATTGTAATGGGCGTCGAGTGTCTCGCCGGTAAAGACGAAATTCGCATAGGATACCTTTGAAGACTTTGTAATATAAATTCCAAAGGGACATTCTGATTTTGACAACTTGAAGACAGAGGGACATGGCTAACACCTCATTTTTCAAACCCCATGTTTTTTTTCCCACCCATTTTTTTTATTATTATAATGGGGTTTTTTTAAATTAAAAAGTTAAAAAAATGTGTCTCCATTCACACCCCATGTACGCTTTAATTTAATACCAATCTTTAATTTAAAGAAATAAAATCTTCTTTTTTAAAAAAATATTAATTTCAAGCAATCATATGCATGTGTGCATGTATGGTATGTATGGCGAGAAAACAAGTCCAAACGATAGTGTGGGCTCTCTGGCCCTCGAGAGAGGATCTCAACAATATTTTTTTATTGCACATTCCATTTTTTTAATTTCATTTATTTTGGTTATTGATAAGAATCCGATGTGTACATATGTCTAGTAGTATCTATATAAATAAATAAATAAATAAAAGTCTTCAAATTGCGTAAATTTTTAAATCATTTTATATGAAAATTTGTATTGAATTAAAAAATAAAAATTACATATTTATAAACAACATAAATAGATTTACAAATAAAAATTAGTAGTGACATGACTATATTATTTTACCAAACAAATAAGTTACCTTATCATTTTCCTTTCTTTCATAATTTTCTAAACTAAACGTGAAGATAAAATTTTCATCATTTGCTAAATAAAAAAAGGCGGTACCGATTATTATTATTATTATTATTATTATTGTTATTATTATTATTATTAGTATTATTATTATTATTTTTTATTATTATTATTATTATTATTATTATTATTATTACGTAGTATTATTATTTCCTACTTAAGAACAATTGATAAATTGCACGTCTCTAACTAAAACTGAACAAGTGATATAAGACCATTAATAAAAGTTTTAAGCATAGGCGGATCTAGAAATCGAGAAGCATGAGATCCCGTTTTTTAAATTGTGAACATATATTTATACTACGTAATTATTTACACGCTATAAAAAATCTACTCCGTACTATTTAAATGAACATTCAAAATATGCTTCTCAAATAGAATTTTCAAAGACATAAGTTCTACATTTGAAAATTTTTAAAGATAAAATTTACTAATTGGATATAATGATTTTTTTTGTCAACAGCCTCAAATTAGAATGAAAGATTTAGACGTATCCATAATGAATTGGTAGAGAGAAGGGTCAGGGAGCAACGTGCCAAATGAGAAGGAGAGTGTTGCATTTGTATCCACCGGGGTGGATATGGGGCGACAAGAAATCATCCTAGCCCGCTCGAGTATGTCATGTGTAAAATGTGTCTGGTGTAGAAAAAGGCTTGTAGGCTGTAGCAGTTTGATGGACGTTGATGCCGAGGAAGAAGTGCAAGTCTCCCAAGTCTGTCATGGTAAATTCGGCTTTTAGCCGCTGGATGAGAGTCTGGATAAGAGCCGGAGAAGATGCCGTGAGAATAATATCATCAACATACAAAAGGAGATAGGCGGTGCCCGTAGCATGAGAGAAAACAAATAATGAAATATCAACCTTGCACCCGCAGAAGCCAATGGTCTGAATGAATCGTGCAAATCTGTGATACCACGAACATGGTGCTTGCTTCAGTCCGTAGAGAGCCTTCTTGAGTTTGCACACATAGTGAGGTCGAGCGGTGTCACTAACTAGATATAATTTGAAAATATTACGAGTAATATTAAACTAGATATAATGTGAATCCTTAATTTTTTTTCTTAACACTATGTTTGGTTCAAAGAAATTATGAATGAAAATAAACGAAATTATTTTTTCTCTTAATTTCTTTACCAAAGTGAGTCAAATTTTATTCTGCCTTCCCTTTTTTCCCCATTTTTTCTATCCTTTTCTCTCTAACCAAATAAGAAAAATTATTTTCCAGATCATTTTATTTTATTCCTTTCAAATTCCTTGAACAAAAAAGAGAAAATTATACTCCATCAGTTCTGGAGAATTTGATTAGGTTTAACTTTTTGTAGTTAATCAATATCAATCTGTTTTCAAAAAAATCAATCTTTTAACATAAAATTTAATAAAAATCATATGGTATATTAATTAAAAATAAAGTAATATTTAAAAAATATTTTAAATGACACTACATAAATCTTATAAAGTTATTTTTGTATCCATTTCTAATTTAAATTTTATTTAACTTATGGTGATTTTTTTAAATAATTTTAACCGTTAAAAATTAAAACCGGAGAAGGCCTTCAAAAAAAAAAAAAACCGGAGAAATAGTTTGACTATCAGATAGGGAGTACTACTAGATTTGATGACGTTGGGTTGAATTCCATTTCCCGTGCAAGCAGTTTGAAGACCATCAGACGACGAGGATGGGAAAATTTCATCTCCTGATTGGTTCATTGTTTTTCTTCTGTTTCTGCTTCTCTCATGGAGATTCTTCCACAGTTTCAAGAACCCAATCGTCATCAGATGGATCAGAATCGTGGGGCTACGTCGAAGTCAGACCCAGTGAAGTCTTTCACTTTTCCCATTTTCAGTTCAAGATTCATTCTTTCCCATAAATTCAAGCTCAAAATCTTTTCTTTTTTATAATGATTGGAATGCATGAGCACAGAAGCTCACATGTTCTGGTGGCTCTACAAAAGCCCTTCCAGAGCTGAAGATCCAAACCGGCCATGGCCAGTCATTCTCTGGTTGCAGGGTGGACCTGTAAGTTTTTTGTCTGATTTTGTCCCAAAATTTCCACCCATTTCTTGGAAAATCAACTTATTTCCTAAGGTGCAATGTGATTTTCAGATTTTGTGTTTTTGTCGCTATATATTTCTGCATATTGAGCTGTTTTCTTTAGGATTTTACTGATAGGAACTCCTGGAGGTATATGTTTAGGGTAGTTGGATAGACCTTTGGGTCTTAGCTTGTAGATTATGCTGTAGTGTGTTTTTTTTTTTTTTTTGTGCTCTTACTTGGTTTGTGCTCGTTCCTGTTTTTGAGCCGGATGTCTCTTAAAGTTCACAAAGCTCAAACGAGCAATATGATGCTGAAAAGCCTCAACAATGAGCACACAAGGTTTAAGATTGGTTTGTTGTAAGAAAGCCATTATCTTGATGTGGCATGCTAGGCCATCCCACATTGGTTTGTTGTGGAGTTGAGCTTTTAGAATGAAATCAAAGTGTTAATAGTAAGACTTTCAAGATGCGATATGTACATTTGTACTACTATGGTGATTCTCCATGTCAAATTATATTGTTGATAATTCTTCATGGAATGTGAATAGGGGGCTTCAGGAGTTGGAATTGGGAATTTCCAGGAAGTTGGTCCTCTGGACATTAACTTGAAGCCTCGAAATTCAACGTGGTTGAAGAAAGCCGATCTCCTCTTTGTGGTAATCATCTTGCATTTCTAAAATGGCACTTTGATTTTCGAATATGTTTTGCACATATCATCGTTCTTTTTCAATACACTATAGGATTGCCCAGTCGGAACAGGATACAGTTATGTGGAGGATACCAAGCAGTTGGTAAAGACCGACTGGGAAGCAGGAACAGATTTGACCACATTGTTGATTGAAGTTTTCAATGGTAGTAGCGCGAGCTTACGTAGAAGCTCCCCATTGTACATAGTTGCAGAGTCATATGGAGGAAAATTTGCGGTCACTCTTGGATTATTAGCTCTGGAAGCCATTCAAGCAGGGAGGTTGAAGACCGTACTTGGTGGTAAATATAAAGAGAGAAAAAAATTGCAACTCAATGATAGTAGAAGCTAACAAATTTGTGAACTACTTTGTGCTATTGTGTTTACTTTAACAACCTCTTGATTTCCAAGTAGGGGTTTTGCTTGTTTTTGTAATAACACTTGAGAGCTTGTTGTGTATGGTCTTGTTTTTACTGCAGGAGTTGCATTAGGAGATACTTGGATCTCGCCCGAAGATTTTGTGGTATGCAATGAATTTGGTTATTGTGAAGAACATTTAGGGCATGTTTGGTAAGTCTATTTATAAATATCCGTTTTACGAGTGATGCAGTTTTCTTGGGGGCCCCTTCTGAAAGACGTTTCGAGGCTGGATGAGAACGGCTTTGAACAAGCAAACAGGTCCGTATCCAAACATTTATTATGAACTCCGAAAAGTTCATTTCTTTATTATCTAACATGCTGTCAAACTCAGCCTAGCTTTGAAAATCAAGCAGAAGCTTGAAGCTGGTGAGTTTGAAGAAGCAACTGATTTATGGAGTGAACTTGAAAATAGAATCAGTGCCGACAGTAATCATGTGGTAATTAATTACCCCGAGTATATATTTATCTGTTTTAAGTAAAATGTCCACAAGTTAATGTTATCACAAAAAAACAATCTTTAGTCCCTTTTTTTGCCTATAAGTATGTATCTATCTGTGTAGGACTTCTACAACTTTATGTTGGACAGTGATATGGACCCTCTATCCATGACTGCTTCTCAGCAAGCATTGGCACTGAAACGATACTCGGCATATTTAGAATCCCATAAATCTTCTCCAGGTGGCGATGATCGTCTAAGTACATTGATGAATGGCGCCATCAAAAACAAGTTAAAAATCATCCCTGCAAATGTTAGGTATGTCGTCACCCTTTTTTGTTTTCTTACGCGTTTTGTGGTTCCATGAATTCAGAAGGGAAAAGAAAAGAAATGGTAAGGAAAAAACAATTTTGGTGTTTGGTTAGAGAGGAATAGAAAAGGCGAGGAGAACGTAAAGTGAAAAAGAAAATGTGTTTTCCTCCCATTCTTGTGATTAAAATGAGAGAAAACACCAAAGTTATTGAGAAAGGAATTTCTTCACTCTATCTAATAACCAAACAAGATTAAGGTTTTTTATTTCTTTGACTTTCTTTTCCCTAGCATTTTCCTTTCCTTTCTGATTCTAGGAACCAAACATAATGTTGATTTATTTCAAGACCTTTTATAGGCAAAAAAGGACTAAAGATTGTTTTTTTTTTGAAGTTGGGGCGGGCAATCGGACGATGTTTTTGAGAATATGTACGGTGACTTTATGAAGCCAAGGATCAATGAGGTATTTTACAACTCTTAATCTTTTTTATTTGAACAACTCTTGGCGGTTCGTTGATCCCTTTTTTCACAGGTAGACCGATTATTGGCCAAGGGAGTGAATCTGACTGTGTACTCTGGACAAGTACGCCTCGTTTTTTATGCACGACTCATTATTAGTACATATAAATGACTGTTGATCGTTGTATTTTGGGAACGGTGGTTGTAGCTTGACGTCATCTGCGCCACAAAGGGAACCGAAGCATGGATTAAGAAGCTCAAGTATGAACACATTTACTAGTTTAGTCCTTAGTCTCCCATTTTGTGGGAAGACATTGATCATAGTCTTCCCCAAGGAGCATGTCTTGTGTGGGCAGAATATAGTCTCTGCCACAAGACAAACATTCTTAACTGAGAGAGGACCTATATTTGCAGGTGGGTAGGGCTGAAAGAGTTCTTGAGCTTGGGAAGAAGCCCAATCCATTGTGGGGGTGACAAAACCACAAGGGGTTTCTTCAGGTCCTACAGAAACCTGCACTTCTACTGGATCCTCGGAGCCGGACATTACGTAAGGCCATGTTCTACTCAACTGTTTGTTATTCCAACATTCAAACTCCAGTCTTCAGGCTCCAAGAAACCTGCAAATTTCACTATATATATATTTATATATATGTATAGGTTCCGGTGGACCAGCCGTGTGTGGCATTGGACATGGTGGGTAACATCACGCAGTCCTTAGCAAGTTCGAGGTGAAGAAACACATGTGCACGCACATCCTCTCAAGATTCTACTCTTGTGCGATCCAACTAGACTCTCGTTGTTGTATGAGTCGTAAGGACCCTTTAAAACATTCATGTTGGTACTTGTTTCAAATATTATAGTTTAGATATAGGAAAGGTTAGTCCAAAAGTTGTGGGGGAAAAAATGTTAATAACATTTCAAACTTACATGTTTGGACGACTTTTCCTATATCAAAATAATGGAAAGAGCGGTAACGTCTCTTGTGGGATTTTACCTATAGTTATTATTTTCATTATTATTACTGTTGTTGTTGTACAACAATTGTTGTTCAACAACAATTAATATTACAACAATATTATTATTATTAGCATGATTATTATTGTTATTATTGCTATTATTATTATACTCTGTAATTATTATTATTATTATTATTATTATTATTATTATCATTATTATTATTAATTGGGCAAAGTTTTTTTTGACCTGCTCGAAAATGACACGAGAATTACCTATGTATTTTGGGATACCTAAGTACTAGTTGGTAAAATTGATAGTTCATATCCTTAACCCCCCTGCACCCCACTCCCCTCCCCCATACAACGATTAGGTATGGAACCCTAACCACTAATTATTCTAAAAACTTCGATCACGTGCTAATGAGATACCGGTCTCTTCCGGTATATGCTATCGTGAAATCAACCTACGAGAAAACAGTAATGTTATTTTCATAAAGGCAAACGGATGGATTTACATGTCTACAAGCGGGGTTTAAGTTCCTGAAATATGTTTGGAACAAGGTCAGACACATGGAAGACAATCGTCTGCATTGCTGTGTTAATCATTCATCATATGCAACAATGAAATTATAGGGTCATTGTTGAGGCCAACGTTGGAGTTGCCGGTATATTAGAGGAGATTATCGTGCATCTAGGCCAACAAATGTGTGGTTGCGAAAATGGACCACATTGCACATGTCATGTGTCTACGTCTACGCCGCATGCCGTTATTGTAACATTATGATTAATGATGGATCAGTGTTCTCACTCCAGAGCTACCAGAATGCATACTCTGGAAGTGTCATGCCGCTGCAAAACGAAATGGAATGGTCTATTTTTTGTTACGAATTATTGCGACCAAATATAGGTCAAAGGACGCAGGTCGGTCGTCCAGTGAGCACCCGTTTTATTAATAACATAGATATGCAACTACAAAGGCGTCATGGTAGTACTTAGTTCATTAATAAATTTCTAAGGATGATTTTTAAATATGTACGCCAACTTTTAATTTTATACTTTAAATTTGGGTAGTAGCGTGTCAAATGCTTCATTATTATTATTCGGTAGCGATCAAGATACATTTGTAAATCTCTTTATTTCTAAAAAAATATACGTTAAGAATTTTTTAAGAACATTAAATGTGGACATAATTTTTGTCTACACTTATTCAAAATTTAATATATCTAAAAAGTTGTAATAGATAGTTATTTAAGAAATAGAGAGTATAAAGTATAATAAATATAAATACTCAACTTCTAACGGTATAATGTATATCGTTTAAGAAAAAAAGAATTGAACGGTATACTTTTTGCGGTTACACTCTATGAAGAGATGTTAATTAGTAGCAACCTATCCGAAAATCACCCTATGAGATAGTGTCGTAAGAAGTTTAAAAGTCATTATCCAATATCTAAAAAAAGGGTTCAATAGGTACCAAATTTTGAGTAGTGATAAAATCCCACTAGGTTTGGCACTAAATATTTTACTAACGTATACAGATCTATTGTTTATAAGTACGAAAGTACAAATATAGTCATTCTCAATGTTTGTACATATATGTGAAACAATCTCAAATTCTTGATTTCAAATTTGATAATCCTTCTGTTCCAAAATATTTTATGTTTTACTCAAAATGAAGCGAAATCTCAAATTTTTTCAATTCGTTTTATTTAAAAATTAGTATGGAAATAAAAAAAACAGAACTTACATATGAACTACGTCAAAAACTCTACAAAATTAGAGATGATAAAAATATTTTATTTCATCAAGTAATTAATTAAAACAAACAAATCATAAAAAAAAATCATGATTTTTGAATAATGAAGAACATAATTCTTTTTTGTTCCAAAAAAAAAAAAAAAAAGAGTGGGTAATTTTTATAGGTGAATACTTAAACCAATAAATTTAAAACTCCGGCGGCGATGTATAGACAGACGTGTTCATCTCGCGGACTTTTCTCTATAATAAACAACTAACTAAAAGTGCAAAGTCTCGATTCCCTTCTCTTCATCTTCTTCGTGTTCTCCATCTTCAAGATTCTCAGGTAAATATATATATTTTCTTCTCTCCTCTTCACTCAGATGTGTTAAATCTGTGGATACATATAATAAAGAAATAGACACAGAAGCACCTTCGCCCCGTCGGTGGAGTATCTCTTACGTAAAGCCTCAAAGTTGAGATATATAGTAGTGTTTATAGAGAGAGACAGACAGAGAGTTGGGGATGAGAATGATACGGGGAAGATATCTGGCGGTTGTGGCGGCGGTGTTTTCCGGCTTACTAGTGGCGGCGACGGCTGTGATTGGGGGAGGGCAGATTGGGTTTTCTCTTGAGAGGGCGTTCCCGACGAGTCACCGAGTTGAATTGAGTCTGCTACGAGAACGGGACCGGGTCAGGCATGGCCGGATGCTGCAGAGTTTTCCCGGCGGCGTGGTTGATTTCCCCGTTCAAGGCACCTACGATCCGTTTCTCGTGGGGTAATTTTGTCATTTCCCTCTCTCATATCTCTCTGATTCATATATTTATGCTGTGTCGCCAAAGAACCCACCAGATTCAAATTCAAAGCAGATTTATTGAAATTCTCTCATCATTATACATTTGGATTTTAATTTGATCTTCATTTCACAGTGATTCTACCCTTTTAGCAATGCAGATTAGGATCATTATCATTCTAAACAGTCATTAATTGATGATTATATGTAAATATGGTTCAGGCTTTACTTTACCAGAGTTCAGTTAGGCTCTCCGCCCAAAGAGTTTTTCGTGCAAATTGATACAGGAAGTGATGTGCTATGGGTCAGTTGCAATTCTTGTAACGGTTGCCCGTTGTCTAGTGGGCTTCAGGTAATGCATTTTTAGTGCCCCTTTGGTAAGAATTATTTGGCTAAAAGGAAATCAGCATAACCTTTTGAGTTTTGACAAAATCCATAATTAAGTCATTAAGTGGATACTTATTTATGCATCAAAGTATTCAAAAATTAGCCAGCTTATGCTACCAAATGGAGCCATTGTTGTCAAATAAGGTTACCAAATGGAACCTGTTTATTACAGATTGTACGTTTAACCATTTCGGAACACTGTTTGAGTTCCATTGTTGCAATAAGATCCTTTCGATTCGTTGCCACAGATACAGCTAGAGTTCTTTGACCCATCAAGCTCACCAACATCATCAATGATCTCTTGCTCTGACAAAAGGTGTGGATTTGGAGAACAGTCTTCAGACACTGGATGCTCAACAGAAAACCAATGTAGTTACACTTTCCAGTATGGGGATGGTAGTGGCACATCTGGCTATTATGTATCAGACTTAATCCATGTCGATGCAGTTGTTGGAAGCACATTGACTTCTAACACATCGGCCCAAGTTGTTTTTGGGTAAGTTTTTTGTTGTGGTTTTTGTTGCGTTTTTTGTTATTTGAAAATTCGTTATTTGGGTTCTTGTGGGCGCAACAGATGTAGCACGTCTCAAACTGGAGACTTGACTAAGCCTGACCGAGCAGTAGATGGAATCTTTGGGTTTGGGCAGCAAGAAATGTCTGTGATTTCACAGCTTTCTTCACAGGGAGTAACGCCGAATATGTTCTCACATTGCCTGAAGGGAAAAGATGGTGGGGGTGGGATTTTGGTACTGGGTCAGATCGTGGAGCCAAGTATGGTTTACACCCCGCTCGTCCCTTCACAGTATGTTTCTTTTATTACTTTGTGATGCTGAGTTCTTTGCAACTGAACTTTTTTTTGGCATTTTATCTCATTTTTCCCTTTTCTGACATAGTTACTCTTTGTTTCATCAGGCTGCATTACAATTTGAATTTGCAGAGCATTTCTATAAATGGGCAGCCTTTACACATTGACCCACAAGTATTTTCAACATCAAACAACAGAGGGACAATAATTGATTCTGGAACAACTTTGGCATACCTTGCTGAGGAGGCATATCATCCGTTTATAAATACGGTGGGTAGTTACTGGATGCAAAGACAGACCCTTGTTTATATTTACCAAAAATTAAAATAAAAAACTGTAACAATTACTGTGTGGTAAGTGCAGATAAACCAGGGTGTAGCGGCATCCACAAAACCTCTCGACTCCAAGGGAAACCAATGCTACTTGATCACATCGGATGTCTCTGAAATATTTCCATCTGTTAGTTTGAATTTTGTTGGTGGTGCTTCGATGGTGTTAAGGCCCGAAGATTATCTTTTGCAACAAAACTCCATTGTATGTTAGTATTTTCCATATTATGGGTTTGGGAGTTCTTGCAATGCTTCATCTCACTTTGTATACTGTTATGGTGGGTGTGTAGGATGGAGCTGCAGCATGGTGCATCGGGTTTCAGAAAATGCAAGGCCAAGGGATCACTATTTTAGGAGGTAATAATGACGATAGTGATTGTTTCTTTGGCAAATGTCCGGTTACAATCAAAATTTTTGTTTTTTACTAACTTGAGTTTTGGTTTTGTGTAGACCTTGTCCTGAAAGACAAGATTGTCTTTTATGATTTGGCAAACCAACGGATCGGGTGGACAAATTATGACTGTAAGTTGCGTCAAGTAATCTTTATTGTTCTTCAAATCCCCCCTTAGGCATTGGCTTAGCCAAGGCTCCCTAATATTCAAAATTGGGATGAGCTAGAAAAATACCTTTATTGACATCTTAGACAACATTGAATTCATGTTGGGAATCCCCCATTTCTTTAGGTTCGAAACCGGTAAATGTTTCGACAGCGAGCAGAGCAGGAAGGAGTGAAGTTGTGGACGCAGGCCAGATAGACTACAACAATTCGTCGCGGAACCATCCACGCAAGTTAGTTTTCGCTCTCTTGTTATATGTTGTGTTATGGGCATTTGGTTTCTACTCTGAGTTGTAACACTTTTGGTATGATTGGGTTTGGCTGTATTCTTTTGGTATTTGTACAGAGTGACCATTATTTATTTGGGCATGTCCAAATTCTGCCTTTGTTTAGGTTCTCGTTTGTAACCTCACAACACCCATAGAAACAATTTATGTACAAAAAAAACACTTCAGCGTTTAGTATATACTATAGTTTGGGATTCTTTAATGTGATGATGTAATTGTGGAGGGAGAAATTTAATATACTAAAAGTGACTATCTTAAACATTCTTTTGGTACAATATGATGTCACATAGTATTAAATTCTACTATGTCAATTTTTTTGGTATTTCACTGTAAATAATAACATTGTAAAGTGTTCTGGTAATTTAATCTAATATGCGATGGGGTGTATTTTTGTGGGCATATCAAAATCTTCTCAATTGGTAACCAAGTTTTAGTTACCGTTAGAGTATGTACAAGTACAAACAAAGATGTTACTAAATGGAATTTACATTCTCTCATATGTTTCTTTCTTTATTTGAATTGGTTTGTTTTTAGTAAATTGTATGGTTAAGGACCTGTTTGGCATCAGCGTTAGAAGTACACATTGGCATTTCGAAAATGATATCTAACGGTAACATTTAGTGTTAACGTTTTCAGAATTAATCTTCATCAATAAAATTTTATTCAAAACACTAACGTTAATCGGAACATTATTCCCAAAGAAGACCTAATTTTATTTGGACGAGAAAAATCATATGAACCTCTAAATATTTCGATTAAAATAATATGGACAGAATTTTAGAAAATAATAATACGAGGGATCGGAAGAAGTAATTGAGACGTTGCCTCACTTCCATGTAAAATGAATTCTTGTCAAAATGGTAAAGGTGACATCCATGTTAATCGGAAGTTTTTACTCCATTTTAAATGAATGCCCCATTGCTTGATATTAATCTTGTTTGTTAATAATATTTTTAATTAATGTTAGTGTACTATGAGTAACCTAAAACTATTGCCAAAAAAACCTCATTATTAATTAATTGGTAGTTCTTTTCCCCAAAAGGACGAAAAATATCAAACAGAAAACATGTGATGTCAACAAAAAAAACATCATTTAAAAGGCAACAAAAAAAAAAGATTTCCTTAGGTTGCTTGTACCCGAAGGCTTTAATGACACAACCTTTAGTCGACCATATGCATGTGATGGATGGATTCTACGATATGCCTGCCTTACAAACTGGAATGAATCACACGTTTCTTTCACCAGAAGAAAATTGTCACATGCACCCCACCCACCAATGAAATTTTGTACAAACAACATTGTATCTACATTCTAATCATAAAGATTTAAGGGTGTTTTTATGTGTCTCAGTAGAAATGCCCAAAAGAGTAAAATTGGACAATGAAAATTTGCAAGTTTGAGAAACTACTAGTAGTAACAATGCTTGACCAATAATTGTACCCTCATACATAAACCATATTTTCCAATGTTTAGGAAAAAGCAATATAATATATGTGAGCTGACCAAACATGCCACAGCAATACATATATATATATATATATATATATATATATATATATATATATATATATATGTATATATATAATCATAATACTAATAGTAACACTTAAATATCTAAAGCTCTAACCAAGCATGGACAAAAAAACTACTACTTTGTGAATGAGCCTTAGTCAGTCTTTTTCGTTAACCAAAAACATATACCCCGGAGTATCTTTCTTCTCTCCATTTCCCCCTTCATCCCAACAGAGCACTTAGCAGTAGAACATCACGGCCTTAACATTATCCTTGATCCTCGGCAACGGTCTAACATCTGCACCCTTCTCCCGGGTTGACTGTCCTCCTCCTCCTGATGTGGACCCCGCGTCAGAATACTCTCCCTCAATATAATGCCTCGCGCGGAAGGCAGCAAGATGCGCATAGTACGCTGGAGGTACTGTGCAACACGCAACACAGAAGGAAAAAAATCATTTTATTTCACTCAGGCACAACAGATTAAACAAGCAGATTAGAGATGAAAGAAATGACATACCAACTGACACTGAGCGAGTGCAGCGAGCATAGCTGAAACAAACCAAACAATTAACAGTGTTTGTTTTTATTACAGGAAGCATATATGTTTTATAAAACAATAGATGTTTTGTTTTAATGAAGGGATGAGAAGGAAGAATACGTGTAGCACAAAGAGTTGGTGAGGTTCTGCATCGCATCAGCACTGAACCCGTTCTCATCATAGAGAACATGGTAATGCGCCGGACGGCTAGTCCCCTGTATGATAGAAGCCAAGGGTTGAATATGGATTGGTGTAAAACAGATAGAAAAGATGGTCGTGACTGGTTTTTTTTTTACCTGGATACCGGCATGGCTGCAGAGATAGAAGTCAAACTCTGTAGGATGGCAGATTTTCGTATCCACAACTGTGCCTGCAATATAGTAAAAAACGTGCAAAACAGAAAGATTACCATTTCAATGTTTGCATAAATTGAAGGGTACGAATAATAAAGGAACTTGAGAGCATTAAAGAAACATACCAGGCAAAATGTTGCCACTCCTATCAGTGCCTCTGCGATCGTTGTGATCCGCAGGGAACAGGCGCGTGTGGTGCCTTTTCTGCACCACCACAAAGGTGATGCGAGGCAGATACCCAGGCTCCAGCGAATTGCAAGCCTGATCCAGGAACACAATCAAAATAAAATTTGAGATGAAATCGTGAAAAAACATTGCCGAAAAAGATTGAAAGAAGGCAAGACATGATCTTACCTTGCGGATGGCATCAACTTCATAGAGCAGGACTTGGCTGAACTGCCCTTCACTCACTCCATCTCTGTAGAATATGATACGGTGGGGCTTGTGGCCTGTTGACCTTCTGAATTCTATCAGCAGCTCCCTATGAATAATATAACAAAGAATAGAAACTTGTGAGTGTATATATATATAATATCTTACATATAACCTACAAAGTATATTAACTACCTTATCATGCCCCCATGAACTGGCCCTTTAACTGGATCCTGAGACAGCTTATACAGATCCTCAACAATCTCCATACGGTGTTCTTGTGCAGAAACTAACCCTCTATACTTGGTAACATGTGGCCAATCCATTGAAGCAACAACCTGTGTCAAAGAGAAAATCAGATCCAACGCTATTAGAAAATAATACTCCAGGTATTGAACATAGGAAAAGAGAAACGGCGAGCAAAAAAACTCTGTTACATACAGAGGCAATGGAAGGACTAGAATCCTCTCCTGGATTGGGATGGGTCACATCAGCACCAAAGATGATAGTAGGACGTTCTGTAATAAAAGGCAATCTACCCTGCACAGTTTGTTCAAGAAAAGAGTTCCTTCCACCAACCTATAAAATTCACAGGTTTCAAGCATGAAATAACTTGACAGTAAACAGATAGATTAATAATTATAGCAATTGTTAGGAGACAAACAACAGTACAAACCTTAACATTTATCTTAAGCGAAACATTCTCATAATACTGCTTGTTATATTTGGAGGCTTGCTTAGGTTGACAGCACTGAGAGACAATTCCCAACTCTGTCTCGCAAATCTTCTTAATCTTGCCTACAAAATAAGCAAGTGTAATGTGCGATTAGATAACCATAATACCATTAGGTTTGGTTAAGCAAAATATGTGGGATTACCATAGGTTCCGGAAATTTCAGGAAGAATAATGATGAGCAGCTGTAACTTGGGAAGAGGACTCTTTCCCTCATTCCCTTTCATGCTAGCAATCCGAGCACAGCTTTCATTGTGAATGTCATGAAGTGTCTTCTCTATTTGGTTAGGATTGGCAAACCGAAAGGGTACCAACGGGTTGGGATTGAATAGCTGGGAATGAAATGGTGATATGCACAACTCAATACACATAACAGGCAGCTATACTATTATTAGTATTTAAGTAAAAAAAAATGCATACCATTCCACGACTACAGCACATGTCTATTAAACCATGACAAAACCCTTCTGAATCCTGAAACCGTGAGAAGTTGACCAAAGTCCAGAAGTCAACCCTCCCAGGATCGACCATTTTCTGTTCAAAACAAAACACCCCAGCTAAGTAAAACAATAACAAAGACCTTGTTGATTAAGCAAATGCAGATATCATGTTAAGCAGATATCTTGAGCAAATGCAATCACACACCTTGTTGATCATGTTCCACTGTCCTACAAATGGATTGATTGCAGGTTCTCGTCCACTTTCATGATACTTAATCTGTAACCAGTAGTATAATACAATAAAATTCAATTTAATGTTAAAGCATTAGTATCAAACACTAATGAAGATCCATTGCTTACCATTGGCGGTGGAAGAACACGTGCTTCAATTGCAGTAAGGTCATCAGTTAGTTTCATTCCAAATTCAGAAACTAAGTTATCTTTGTTATAATTGTTAGCACGGACAACCTGCATGCAAGTGTTGGCAAGTCTAAAGCTGGGAAACAAACACTTCCATTATCACTTAAGTAATTAAAAACTCCACTCTTTTTACCTTACTGATACTTATCTCTCTTTCTTTAGGGCGCTGGGCAGTAGCTTTTAGCATTGCAGAAACTTGTTTTTCATTCAGCTTTTTAGTATACCGCTGGCCTTCCACAATTCGGCAAACCTGAGGAAAAAAGAATCATAAAACATCATAACACTCCAAAATGAAATGAGTAACCAAGAAAACATCCTTTAGCAGATAAGTATATACCTCCATCGGCAAGTATACAGGTCTGGCATCATTGCCAGACTGGAGAGCAGGCAGCATGGGAAAAGCAATATTAATTTTGTATTTTTGGCTGAAGTATTTTGTCACAGAAGTCTTTTCACCTGTTTCGAGCTCAAACCTGATCTCCAAAAGGAAATTTCAGGGGATGTAAGAATAAAAGTTTGGCACACCATTAATTCCCAACCAATTGTAACACATACACGGTATTTCAGAATCATGTAATGCACCAAATCAAAAATGATGAGAGATGTTGCTATAATGTTTCCAAGAGAGCCAGTACCATTTAAACATACACAGGCACCATACACAATATCACTGTACAAGAAGCACTCTATCACACTTAAAGCATTGATTATTTTGTATTGGTAATCAGAAAAAAAAGAATGTATTCTAGCCTTCTAGGTCCATATTCATGAACTCAAACTACCAAATAGGTAGCAAGTCATCACAACAAACATGAAACAGCATTATCAAGCATAGGACAAAGTGCATAACAATTAACTCAAATGTGTTCTAAAGCACCAATGTGCTCTACCCATTACAACATTACATGCAGGAAGATACATAATCAACAGGAAAAACCAGTTACTCCATATATTCTAGGGAACATATTTCTTCAACAGCTGCATAATTATAAACAGAAAAACACATTATCAAGAGCAAGAATAGACATACATCAACTGGCTAGCTGGTAAGGTAGACAATCCAGAAATCTTGTACCGCCTAATATTTTGTAGATGAGTGACTTCAACCCTAAGGCCCTTTAGAACCCTTTTGGCCTGAAAGGGTAAACAACAAGTGACTATTATAATCTTCAAAATTTACCAATCAACAGGATAACAAAAAACATGTAATGTCATGTCATACCTTCAAGCGATCTTGGTCCGATAGAGGCCTGGTCTTATCCCTGACTTTCAAGTACTCAAAAACATACTGAGAAACCAGTTTAGGTTCATAGAAAGCTCTGGCAGACACATCTGTTCACAAAAGGATTACTAGTAGTTAGAGGCAATCACACAAAAGAATGAAAAGAGGATTGGGGCAAGTAGGGTTGTTCGTGTCTGTTTGGTACCTATGTTCAAGGACAGCCCCATTTGACACGGTCGCAGGCTCTGATAGAACCCTTTCCAATATTCCAGCCCATCATCAAGTGGCCCCTTGCCAAAACTTGTGTGGAAGAATGATCTTCCAACCACCTGGTAACTGCATCAAAAGAAGGCATATGTAACCTATCATGTTCTAGCTGCATTCCTTGAGTAAAAACACACGCTCGCTCACACAACAACAAGAAGATGAACAAGAAAAAAACACATAACGTAAAGAGTATATAACATACGTGTTTGACAGGTTTGCCCTCAAGGCTACATCAAGAACTTGTATGGTTTCCTGTGGGCTATCGAGCTGCCTACTTCGCAAGAACTCCTGCAAATGATGCAGACTATGCTTCGCGGCAAACTTTATTGACACTGTAAACTGTCTCTCCTGCCTACATTCACAGAGGCAGCACACAACAGAGTCAGCACTCATGGCTTATACTACAAAATACAGAAGCCAGAAAGGAGTAACCAATGGAATCTACCTTGAAGTTCTCTCCTTGTCTATCAACTTCACAACAAAATCCTTGGATTTGAAGGGTAATTCGGCAGCTGTATAGACACTTTTTCCACCGTCATATGCCAACAACCGTCTTCCCAGATGCGATTGTGAGTAGTCTTGAACTACCTTCGCCATGATATCTCTGCATACCTTTTTGGAAGTGACTTCAGGGGTAATAGTCACCTACAACAGTGTATTGCAGAAGTGTTAATCTAAATAAAGAAGGTATGACCAAAGAATATTCATGCCATCACTACAAAGCAGTAAACACGGTCGATAAAACTTATTGTGGCTCACAAAATGCTCTGCAAGATATTTACGAGCCCATATACATAGGTCATTTTCATATAATTTCAAGTCGAAGTCAAGCACATTAAACTTCCGAAATCGAGTAATATATCATATACTGGTAATAACATGAAGAGATAAAGTGTATAAAACCGCAAATAAAAACATGGGGCTAGAAACCCTTTCGAGAAGAAGGCAGTAATGATATCTCACGAAGGAAGAAAAAGTGTTTCCATCAAAATAATACTCACATCGTAGTGATGCAGATCCCTATCGGACAACTCCACCAGGAAGTGGTTGGCACGAACATAACATTTCTGGCCAAGCTTTCCGAAACCTGGCCGCGCCGGAAACCTAACGTCCTTGGACGACGCAGGAGGTAGAACGGGCAACCGCTCCGAAGTTGAGCCCTGTTCCTTGGCCACAGGCGCCTGCACTACAGGACTAGGTTTCGCCTCTGGTTGTAAGGACATCCGACTGATCTGGTCAGGCAACGCAGGCGGAATGGTAGAGGGAGGCACATTGTGCGCAGGCGGTGCAGGACCGCCGCGCCCTCCAGCATAGGGACCACTACCGCCGCGCCCTCCGGGCAAGGGACCACCAGGACCGCCGCGTCCCCTCCCAGGGCCGCCACGTTCTCCGCCCTGATGCGGTCCTCGACCGCCTCCCCTGCCGCCGCCGCTTCCTCCTCGGCCTGACATTACAACAACCGGAGAACGGCCGAAAATCCAAAAACGAGAAAACGAAGGGTTATAAAGTAGGCTAGTCTAGAGAGAGAGAGAGAGAGAGAGAAAAGGGCGAGAGAAAGAAGAGCGGTGAAAAGGGAATGACCAAAGCGATGAACCACGCAGTGTATATATATACTCGTTCCCTCCCCAAATGAAATGGTTATTTTTTCTTTTTTTAAAAGCATGAACAATGACAAGTAAAAAAAAATGTCACACGCTGACATGACATAAATCAACCAATAAAAAATGGTCCAGTCACAGAGTGGCAAGTGAATGAGTGACACACCCTACAGTGGCAAGTCGTTACTTTTGTCACTTTTTAAACTTTTTGTAATTTATTTTAATTATTAAAAATAATTTTTGCTACTTGTTTCATCAAAAAAATACTTCTACTTCCTTAAAAAAAGAATATTTTTTTCTCAAAAAAAAAATAAAAAAATAAAAATAAAAAAAGAAAAAAAGAAAAATAGGTGTGGGGTGCCTTGGAGATGGCTTGCTCTCCGTGGTGGAATGGCTTGCCTCTCCATGCTAAGCATGGCAAATCATTTTTGGGAGCTGATGTGGCAAGCGTGGCAGACACTTGCCTCGCCCGCTGCCCATGCTCTAAGAGCATGAACAATGGCAAGGAAAAAAAAGAATGACACACGCTGACATGGCATAAACCAACCAATAAAAAATGGTTCAGTGGCAAGTGAATGGAGTGACGCACCCTACAGTGGCAAGTCGTTACTTTTGTCACTTTTTAAAATTTTTGTAATGTATTTTAATTATTAAAAATAATTTTTACTATTTGTTTCATTAAAAAAATACTTCTACTTCCATACAAAAAAGAGTTTTTTTTCTTTCTTTCAAAAAAAAAGAGTTTTTTTTTATCAAAAAAAAAGAAAAATAAAAAAAGAAAAAAAAAGAAAAATAGGCGTGGGATACCTTGCAAGTGACTTGCTCACCGTGGGGGAATGGCCTTCTTCTCCATGTTAAGCATGGCAAAAAAAATTTGGGAGCTGATGTGGCAAGTGTGGCAGGCCTTTGCCTCGCCCGCTGCCACGGCTCTAATGGTAAATGTTAAATCTATTTTCAAACCAAAATTTGAATAATTTATTCGGTTCAAAAATTATCTTTCTTCTATATATTTGTAAAATAATTTGTTGCACCAAAAACAATATTAAAGCTTGTATATCTTTGTAAAATATTCTATCTATTATATCAAATTGTATGTGATTTTAACATGATTCGATAAAATTTTTATAAGCTTTTGCGATCATTATATTTTTTGTTTAATTATTTACTTTTAATCATCCTAGCTAGAAGTATGTAAAATAAAAAAAATTATTGTATACGTTATTATGTAAAATATTTTATATAATTTATAAAATTATTACTTTTATATTCTCTCCGTCCCATTAAAACATGGGACATTTTGCTTTTTGAAGAGATTTAAGGGAGTGTATTTTGGTATTGAATTTCCAAAAATGTCCTTTGATGTGATGGGTAAAAGTAGAATTTGATGGGTAGATTATTAGTAAAAAGGTATGATGTGATAGGTAGGGTATGAAAAAGTAAGGGATAAAAGTGACTTTATAATAGAAATGAGAAATGTTTTATGGGACGAATGAAAAAAGAAAGGAGAAATGTTTTATGCGACGGAGGGAGTATAAAATTTAGATGTCAAAAAATGTATAAATTTTACTTTTTTTTTTAATATCAAATTTTAAATAAAATTTATTTTTGTAATAAAAAACTACTTTATACATCTTAATCCTCTCTCAAAATTTTATTTTAAGACACATAGAATTAAAAATAATAATTTCAAAAAACCAAGCATAATGTAGAGATGTTTTTGATACGTGGAAAAATTCTAAAATTTAGAAACTAGTGTGAGAGATGGAAAAATGAAATTGAATAAAATTTTGAAGACTTCGGAGTATGACATAGTAGTCCGTAATATACTCTTTCTTCCTATAAAATTTCATTTTATTTAATTTTACAGAGTTCGTAAGATATTAAAAAGAAAATAGGAGAGTATTTTTTTATCTACGAGTTAAAAATGTGAATTTTTTTATTTTTTGCACAAAAATGAGAGGAAAAAAAGAGAGAGTGGAGGGGTGTTGTACTGTTGTGATCATCATGCGTTGAGGGGAGCGTGATGTGAGGGATGGATGGGGTTCTGGACTTGTGGCCGTTACGTGGAAAGTTTTTTGGACAATTGCCCACACACTTACTCTTAATTGTTATTCGATCCCATCATGGAATCAAGATTCAAAGGGTTACGCATTGCTAATTACTCACTCCTTCATAAAATTAACTTTTCAGTTTAACTTTTGTAGTTAAACTTTTTAAATTTTAACTATTTATTACGGAAAAAATACCTTGAATTTTCATATAGATTTATTAGCAATATATATTCATTTTGAAACATAGTTTTGAAATACTTGTATGTAATTTTTATAAAATATATTTATATAAACTTGAGATATTGATGGTCAAAATGTCGCATTGGAGACCGTGAAAAGTCAATTGAAAAGTTAACTTTATGACGGAGGGAGTACAACAAAAATATTGGGTCTGATTTGTACGCCTCATCTGATTGAGTCTGATTTGAATTTTTAAAGTTCTTGTCTAGTCTGATCTACTGATTCTGATCTGATCTGATGAGATCTGATCTGATTGGGTCTGATATAATCTGATTGGATCTGATTTTATCTAATTAGATTTGGTGTAAATGAATTTAAATTTGATTTAAATTAAACTCAAAATTATTGCAAAATTTAATAAATTTAAAGTATTACAATTCATATATACATAAAAAGTAAAATACGAAAATCAGCTACTCATTGATATATTTAAACTTTTTTTGAGATATTAAACATCTTTTCAATATCACTACTTTTTAATTTTTGTGAAAAGTAAATAATCGGCATTAAAATAATCAAATATTATAAAATATGGATGCTATTCTACAAAAATATCATATTCTATATGCATATTACATAATACGGAGTAATATATTTCATGTTACAAATTAAAGATTATTTAGAATCTTAAACACTAATATTTCTTTCACCTATATCAATTTTGTCATAAACTCACCCTTGTATATATATTATATTATCTTGAAGTTTAAAAGTAAGTCCTTTTAAGTAAAAAATATTTATGGTTTTGAAAACTAAGTATTGTATAATTAGTTTTATGGTTTTGCACCATTATTTTTAATGCCAATGAATTTTAGATAATGGACAACACTACCAATCAAGTGCAGTATAAGGGCCACTATGAATATGGTCTATACACCCTTCCTTCCAAACCATCATTCGTTGTGTGTGAACCTATCCAAATATCTACCTGACATCGTAGACTCGGTCATCCGGCTCCTGCGAAACAAATTCTTCTTTCAAATATTTTGACGGTTCTTTCAAATATGTGTAACCATCATTCAGTTGAATCTATTTTATGTCAAAACAAATTAGATTTCAAAAGAAATGAATAGTTTTTTGTTCTTCTTTCAAATTCCTCCTCCGTTCTAAAAAAAGTTACATATTTACTACCAAAAAATTGTTGATGGGTACCCCCAATTTTGTAATAAGAACTCACAGGTCCCATTGTTTTTCAAAATATACTCTGAGATACCTTAAGATATTAAAAAACTGACTCCGGGTGGCAATCTGTCACTCTCTCCGTTAACATCCCTTCTCAGGTATCTTCTTCTTCTCCTCCTTCTTCTTTTCTTCTTTTTCCTTCGCCTCCCCCCACCCTCGTTTTTTTTCTTCTTTTACTTTTTGTTTGTTTTTTTCTTCTTCTTCTAAAAAATAAATAATAATAATAATAATAATAGAATAAGAAAATGGAGTAATAATTAATATGAAGTAATTATAATAATTAATAACAAATAATAACGAGGGTGGGGAAGAAGAAGAAAAAAATGAGGGTGGGGGGAAGGCAAAGGAAAAAGAAGAAGAAAAGAAGAAAAGAGAAGAAGGAGAAGAAGAAGAAGAAGAAGAAAGAGATAACAGAGAAGGGATGCTAACGGAGAGAGTGACAGATTGTCACCCCGGAGTCAGTTTTCGAATATCTTAAAATACCTCGAACTATATTTTGAAAAACGATGGAACCTACGAGTTCTTATTACAAAATTGGGGGTACCCCGCAGCAATTTTTTGTATTTACTACTCCGTATTACTCCCTCCGTCCCCATAGATCTTCCCAATAGCCCTTTTTCTTTGTCCACAATAGATCTTCTCATTTCATTTTTTAACAATTAAAATACCACAACTACCCCCACTTAAATTATTTATTACACCTCACCTACCTCATTTAATACACTCCACCCATTTTTCATTAAGGGTATTATGGTAAACTTTCACCTTTTTTCAACTCTCTTTAAAAACCACTAAAAGTCAAAATGAGAACATCTTAGGGGGACGGAGGGAGTACATTTTTTCACAAATTTTTTTTCTTTGCATATTTTTATTCATGAATTTGATAAAATAAAATAAGACAAATAAAGAGAGGTGCCCGGTTTAAATGAAGGATGATCCATAAGAAAGAGTATATATCCGGAGTATAAAACGAATCAGAAAAGCTCCCCACGAAATGAAATCATTGCTCTCAAGTCTCAATCCATCTCTTCCTCCTAAAATTATGAGCTCCAAGTCTTCAACAATATGAAAAGTTTAATCCTTTATCAAATTATTTTACGGAGTATCCTCGACTTACTTTCTTCGTCTCTAAATGTTTATTATATTTCTAAATATAAGATAAAGTATTAATTTTTTTCAATTTATTTTATTTAAATATTTGTATGGAATTAAAAAATAAAATTTAAATATTTAAAAACTACGTGAAAAAATCTTCGAAATAAGAGGTATCAATAATATTTTATTTTACCCTCTCTGTCCTAAAACTATTTTCCCGCGTGTATTTACGAGGTTTGACCGACTTTATTTTCAATTCAATTTATTTGATTGTAGGTGTACAATTAAAAAAATACTCCGTAATATTTA